GTATCGAGAAGAGAGCGGCAGCAGCAGCAGCAGCAGCGCGGTGGCGGACGGCGTTCAGTCCTCAACCCGGTACCGCCCCTGCTGCATGTGCCCTGCTGCCTGTACCACTCACACAGCTCCTGCTGCCTGTGCCCTGCTGCCTGTGCCACTCACACAGCTCCTGCTGCCTGTACCCTGCTGCCTGTACCCTGCTGCCTGTGCCACTCACACCGCTCCTGCTGCCTGTACCCTGCTGCCTGTGTCACTCACAGAGCTCCTGCTGCCTGTACCCTGCTGCCTGTACCACTCACACAGCTCCTGCTGCCTGTACCCTGCTGCCTGTGTCACTCACAGAGCTCCTGCTGCCTGTACCCTGCTGCCTGTACCACTCACACAGCTCCTGCTGCCTGTGTCCTGCTGCCTGTGCCACTCACACCGCCCCTGCTGCATGTACCCTGCTGCCTGTGCCACTCACACCGCCCCTGCTGCCTGTACCTGCTGCCTGTGCCACTCACACCGCCCCTGCTGCATGTACCCTGCTGCCTGTGCCACTCACACCGCCCCTGCTGCCTGTACCTGCTGCCTGTGTCACTCACACCGCCCCTGCTGCATGTACCCTGCTGCCTGTGCCACTCACACCGCCCCTGCTGCATGTACCTGCTGCCTGTGCCACTCACACCGCCCCTGCTGCCTGTGCCACTCACACCGCCCCTGCTGCATGTACCCTGCTGCCTGTGCCACTCACACCGCCCCTGCTGCCTGTACCTGCTGCCTGTGCCACTCACACCGCTCCTGCTGCCTGTACCTGCTGCCTGTGCCACTCACACCGCCCCTGCTGCCTGTACCTGCTGCCTGTGCCACTCACACCGCCCCTGCTGCCTGTACCTGCTGCCTGTGCCACTCACACCGCTCCTGCTGCCTGTACCCTGCTGCCTGTGTCACTCACACCGCTCCTGCTGCCTGTGCCACTCACACCGCTCCTGCTGCCTGTGCCACTCACACCGCTCCTGCTGCCTGTACCCTGCTGCCTGTGTCACTCACACCGCTCCTGCTGCCTGTGTCACTCACACCGCTCCTGCTGCCTGTGCCACTCACACCGCTCCTGCTGCCTGTACCCTGCTGCCTGTGTCACTCACACAGCCCCTGCTGCCTGTGCCACTCACACCGCTCCTGCTGCCTGTACCCTGCTGCCTGTGCCACTCACACCGCTCCTGCTGCCTGTACCCTGCTGCCTGTGCCACTCACACCGCTCCTGCTGCCTGTACCCTGCTGCCTGTGCCCTGCTGCCTGTACCACTCACACCGCTCCTGCTGCCTGTACCCTGCTGCCTGTACCCTGCTGCCTGTACCACTCACACCGCTCCTGCTGCCTGTACCTGCTGCCTGTACCCTGCTGCCTGTGCCACTCACACCGCTCCTGCTGCCTGTACCCTGCTGCCTGTACCCTGCTGCCTGTACCACTCACACCGCTCCTGCTGCCTGTACCCTGCTGCCTGTACCTGCTGCCTGTGTCACTCACACCGCTCCTGCTGCCTGTACCTGCTGCCTGTGCCACTCACACCGCCTCTGCTGCATGTACCTGCTGCCTGTGCCACTCACACCGCTCCTGCTGCATGTACCTGCTGCCTGTGCCACTCACACCGCTCCTGCTGCATGTACCCTGCTGCCTGTACCTGCTGCCTGTGCCACTCACACCGCAGCGTGCGGGGCTACAATGTCCCTGCCGCTGCTGCCATGAGCTGCCGCCACCTGCGCGTCCTCTGTGGGGAGAAGGGAAGCCGGTTGGTGGGTGAGTGGGTGAGTGAGTGGGTGAGTGAGTGAGTGAGTGGGTGAGTGGGTGAGTGAGTGAGTGAGTGGGTGAGTGAGTGGGTGAGTGGCAAGATGTATGCGTGGAGAGGTGGGTGAGTGAGTGAGTGGGTGAGTGGGTGAGTGAGTGAGTGAGTGGGTGAGTGAGTGGGTGAGTGGCAAGATGTATGCGTGGAGAGGTGGGTGAGTGAGTGAGTGGGTGAGTGGGTGAGTGAGTGAGTGAGTGGGTGAGTGAGTGGGTGAGTGGCAAGATGTATGCGTGGAGAGGTGGGTGAGTGATACGATGCGTTATTGGATGTGTGGGTGAGTGGGTGGGTTGGAGAATAGGCGGGCGAGGTTGATGTGTAGGTGGATTATTGAGTGGATGGGCGAGTGGATGAGTGCGTGTAGAGGTGAGTCGAAATATGGATTAGTCAATGGGAGGGCAGATGAGTGGAATTGGCGTTAAGTGGATGGGTGAGTGGGTGGATGGTTGGGTGAGTGGGTGGATGGTTGGGTGAGTTGGTGGTGGGTGGATGGGCGTGGGGGTGGGTTGGTTAGTGCGAGGATATGTGGGTGAATTGATAAGTGAGTGGATGAGCGGGAAGCCAACATTAGTCAATTGTTAGTCGGGTGAGCTAAAGGAGGGTTGAGTGAGTGGGTGAGTGGGTAGGTGGGTGGGTGGTAAGACGCATGAGTGGAAGATTAGGTCAGTGGATGGGTGAGTGGATGGGTGAGTGGTTGACGAGTGCCTTGGGACTGTGTGAGTAGGTGGGTGGGGTAGACGTGTGGGTGGATTATGCAGTGATTTGTGTGAGTGATTGGGTGAGAGGATGTTGGTGCGTTTGGTGAGTTGAGAGTGCACGGAAGCCGCACGACACGTGGTGTCTGCAGGGGGGAGGAGAGGGCACGGGGGGCAGCTGCCCTCTCTCTCTTCCCCGCCTCTGTCGTTGGATGTGTGGGTGGCTCCATCGGATGTGTGGGTGGCTCCATTGAGAGCGAGCGAGCGCGTGACCCCCACGGAGGCTGATTTGCACGTTAAGTGGTTGGAAGGGAACGGCGCTTCTTTGGGAATCGCCCTCGGCGCTTGCGAAGGAAGCGATGCGCAGGAGGGGGTCGAAGGGTTAGGCCGAGGGTGAGGTTTACTCGCGTTAATGCAACGGCTCGCGCGGGTGGGGTACGGGCTGGGATAGAGAGGGGCAGGGTACGGGCTGGGATAGAGAGGGGCAGGGTACGGGCTGGGATAGAGAGGGGCAGGGTACGGGCTGGGATAGAGAGGGGCAGGGTACGGGCTGGGATAGAGAGGGGCATGGTACGGGCTGAGATAGAGAGGGGCATGGTACGGGCTGGGATAGAGAGGGGCAGGGTACGGGCTGGGATAGAGAGGGGCAGGGTACGGGCTGGGATAGAGAGGGGCATGGTACGGGCTGGGATAGAGAGGGGCAGGGTACGGGCTGGGATAGAGAGGGGCAGGGTACGGGCTGGGATAGAGAGGGGCAGGGTACGGGCTGGGATAGAGAGGGGCATGGTACGGGCTGGGATAGAGAGGGGCAGGGTACGGGCTGGGTGGAGCTCGGATTGGTTGTGGCTGAGGCTTAGTTTAATAATAATAGGGGTTGGGATTTGGGGATAAGCTGATTTGGTAGCGGGTTAAGGTTAATGCAAATTTTAGTCGAGGGGGAAAGGTGTAGGATTATGCTTCGATGTATGAGGATGAATATGAGATAAACGCTCGGCTTGCTCGGTTTAAGGGAGGGGTTCGGCTCAAGCTCAGGGTAAGCGTTCGGATTAAGGTAAAGGTTTAAGACGTGTTAGGATTATGATGATGATACTAATTTCAACTTGTAACCCTCCGCCCCCACACAGCATTCGCTCCTCGCTCTTTCAGGGAGACAGAGCGAGACAGAGAGAGATAGCGCGAGAGAGAGACACAGAGAGAGACACAAGAGAGAGAACGACTCAGAAGCGCGAGGAATATCACACGAGCTGGAAAGGCAGCGAGCACGTGTCCGAAATCACCCTCCAAGTTTTGCGATCCTCTGCATATATGAAGGTTGTCATGTGATCAACGCGGCACGTTCCACACGCCGAGGGTGATACTCGAGGCGTTCGGCTTGTGCCGGGGGGCGGCTATTATCGTGAACCGCCGGGGTCAGCTGCCACGTCTGCGACGGGTGGTTCCGCGGCCGAGAGTGGTGAGAGAAGACGCGGCCGAGGAGTCCTCGTTAACGCGAGCCATCGGTTCCCATAAAAAACCGCGTGTAAATTATTCAAAATTAATTTCCTGCGCGTGTCATTTTCTCGCCGGTGGAAGTATTTTTTTCCCCTGCCTTGTTTACTTATTTCACCGCCCCCCCCCCCCCCCCCGCAAATCCTCCCTAGAGCCTCGCACATTTCTTCCTTCCAATTATCAGTCGGGCCCCTGCCACTCAAACGACTCCTCCCCGTATGTGCACCAACTCGGTCCGTCTCCCTCCCTCTCCTCTCTCCGCTGCGTCTTCTATCGCTGTCGAGTTTCGAGCTCCGCGTTTGAAGATTTCGCCTCTCTCGGCTGGAGGGGGGTCGGTGGGCGGGCGGGGATGAGTAGTGGGGGTGGGGGGGCGACTTCTCAATTCAATTATTTAAATTGGACCCCAGCAAATGAATAACAACGTCAAACAACAAAGTTCCCTGAATAATTTGATGAGAGAAACAAATCCTCCGCCAGGACGCCCCCGTCGGGGCCCGGGGAGAGTCCCAGGGCCCGCGCCCCCCCCTCCGCCCTTCGGGGTATTGATACCCACGGGATGTCAGAATGACAATATTCACTCATACTGGGAGAAATCCGATGAGCTACTAAGCTCTTCACCCCCTAACAACAGATGCCCGGTACGGGCGCGGGTCAGAACGCGACAACACACAAACCGAAAACACGACGGGAGTGTGCCAGTGTAGGAAAGATAAACACGTCACGAAAACAACACAAATTAAAATTTCGATTTAAAGCTTTCGTGACTGCAGGGATTCATCTTCTTGGTTCTTTCGGTAAAGTCACGTAGAAGGGAAATAATTCAGACGCTGTCTCCCCGACAGACCTGGTCTTCACCTGAGGACGGCTGCTTGCGTTGTGGCCGAAACGTGAGAATTATTTTATTATGTTTTATTTTTATTATTTTATTATTTCTCTTCTAGGTGATTTTACCGAAAGAACCAAGAAGATGAACACAAATTTAACTAAACAATACAAGTTTATTTTACCAGCTGAGGCCCACTGAGCGATGTGCTTCCTTCTCAGAAGCGGCCCGGCCACCGATCACAACTCAGCAAGAGCAGCCTGTCACGTGGCCATGTCGAGCCGTCACAACGACTCTCATACGACGATGGGCCGGACCACGGCGAGCCGAGTTCGATTCCCGCTCACGGCCAACACCCAGTGACGATTATCCGAACCGGTTCTGGGCCTCCCCTAGGTCGACTCGGTCTCAAATGAGTAGCTGGTGCGGTGTGTAAAAATAATCGCCACTGGGGAGACAAAGGCGGCCGGGCGTGGTGCTGGCCACCCACCCCATCGTGTGCCGTGGCGGCCTTCACAGGTGCTGCTCGCTCACAGCACTTGCCCCAACAGTCTGTTACAGGCTACACGGGGGTTCATGATACATGTTTGTTGGGTTAGATAACGTAAATATATAAATGTGTTGTCCACCCGCCACCACCCGACACAGCCAATGAGTAAGGTTTGTCACGTAAACAGAACGTGCCAATTCGTTACGAGTGCAGCACACCGCGTGTGTGTTGGAGAGCAAAGCCACACCAGCCGGCGTGTGCAACTGTACGGGGGGTCTTTCTGTTCAGTACTCGGCTCTCTACACAGGGATTAGACATCTCAAGTTCCCCCTTGTTGTTGTTGGCGTGCGGGACGCGGAACTCGGCGGCGGCGGCGGCAGCGAGGGGCTGGTGGATCACCGCACAGATGTCGCGGCGCTCCGCTCCCCGTGAGCGTCGAGGAGAAGGTGGTACAGGAAAGAAAAAAAAGTAGATTCCACCCGTTCCGTTTTGTATGGGATATAGAGCGTTTCCCCCTCGCGTGTGTCAGTTTTCGATGGGCGCTCCGGTTTTCCTGCCACATTGCCAGCACTCGCGAATTGGCCGGTAACGCGTTGACGTGTAGAGGACCGCAGAGCTCGGGCAACTTGGTGCCGGCTCGTCGCCGCGTGGCCGCTGCCTTCCCGCTCGTCCGTGGTCCCCGGCGCCTCCCGAGTCGTTGGCGCTGTTGGAGAGCGAGCGGACACACATTGGGGGAGTCACGTGACAAGTTGACGACGATGAGCCGGATTGCAACTCGCAACCTTCACATTCTGGTTCCGGCGCGATCGTAGACGTGGCGAACGCGTTTACGTCTCTGCCAACGATTCCATTTGCTTGCTTGCCCAAATGTTGCCTTGGGTCGTCCATCATTTTATCAACAACAACAACAAAAGTGTTCCCAACTCTCAACTGAAAAACTGGAGGAATGGGACTGTGTGTGTGTACCTGTGTGTGTGTGTGTACCTGTGTGTGTGTACCTGTGTGTGTGTACACTGTGTGTGTGCCTGTGTGTGTGTACCTGTATGTGTGTGTACCTGTTTGTGTGTGTACCTGTGTGTGTGTGTACCTGTGTGTGTGTACCTGTGTGTGTACCTGTATGTGTGTGTGTGTACCTGTGTGTGTGTACCTGTGTGTGTGTAGCTGTGTGTATGTGTGTGTACCTGTGTGTGTGTGTACACTGTGTGTGTGTACCTGTGTGTGTACCTGTGTGTGTGTACACTGTGTGTGTGCCTGTGTGTGTGTACCTGTATGTGTGTGTACCTGTGTGTGTGTACCTGTGTGTGTGTACGTGGGGAGTGGTGGTGTAGCGGTTAGCGCTACGCTGCGCTGCGAACCCGGCGACCCCGAGTTCGAATGCCGCTCATGGAACAACACCGGTGACGATTTATCTGAACCGATCCCGGGCCTCCCATAGGTCGACTCGGCCTCAAATGAGTACCTGGTGCGGTGTGTAAACATCGCCACTGGGGAGACAAAGGCGGTCGGGCGTGGTGCTGCCCACCCAGTCCCCTCGTGTGCCGTTCAGGCCTTCATAGGTGTTCGCTAACAGCACTTGCCCCAACAGTCTGTGCAGGCTACACGGGGTGGATCTTTGTCTTTCGTGTTGAACGCTTGAACTTCTTTCGCACCGCACGTGGCCACCCGTGCTCATCGGAGGGAAGAGAGTTCTAAGACGTAAGATTGTTTGGGGGTCTTATTTTTTAAATCTTAGCCAAAGGGCAAAGTTTATAACAGAGTTCATCAATTCTATCACACGTCATTGGTGTCTTATGGTCAGAACGAGTTCCGAATCAATTCAGTGGGCTTTGCCTGCTATGATGGGGATGGTTTATTTGTTTGTGTTTGGGTGAGTTGTTTACCGTTCTTGTACTGTGTGTTGTTGTCAAGTTCTTACCCGCCTCTTACTGTGCACCTGTGAAGAAGAGCTTTACAGCTCATCGGATTCCTCCAGTCGTAAATAAACATCCTCATTCTGAACTCTTTACGACGGACATGAGTGACGTCACAATGCGAATCACGTGCGCGCGCATGTTGCTGAACTTCTGTCGCAACGAGACGTAGCCAATCGGAAAGTGGGAATCTGCAGTGCGCACGTGACGTGGTGACGCGGCGTCGTTATGACGTCAATGGGGGGGCGGGGGTGCCGGGCGTGGCAACAACCGCGACACAAACCCGGCCACGTTTGTCTCCCCCAGCCGCCGGGGCCAATGTCGACCCCGGAGTCGACCATAACAAGTCACCCGGCTTCACGGGGCGGCGAATCGTCACGATTCCCGGGGGGGGGGGGGGCGGGGGGGTCACGATTGAATTCCCGGAGCAATTCCCTTTACTCTCATTAGCATTGTCTTGTCTGCTCTGCTGCATCTCGTTCGTTCTGTCTCCTTTGTTCCACTAGCCTAACGTTTAGGCATTTATTTATTTAAACTTTTTTTTGCCAGTTTTAAAAATGATGAAAAATAATTTTAAGTCATAACTGAATGTGATGTTTCCATCCTACCTGCCGATGTTAGCAGTTATTTCCGACTTACTAGTTACATTACCAGGTTAAATGTCTTCACATTAACAGGCTAAATGCCTCACTAACACAGCCACCGTTGCGGTGGTTCTCTTACATTGACATGCTAATCTCTCAATACAATGGCCACCTCCACAGCTTCGTCGTCGTGGAGGTATATCAGCTCTCTGATCTTACATTTACAAGCAAATTCCATCTCTAGCCCCGCCCACTTACCCTTGTGCTACACCCATCTCAAACCTATATAACATCCTGCCTCAGCAGATATCCCGCTATATTTTTTCACCTGAAGACGATGGCTTGTGTTGCTATCGAAACGTCGTGATTTATTTTGTTTTATTTCTACCTATGTGACTTACTGGAATAACCAAAGTGTATGGATTCCTGCAGTCACGAAAGCTTCAAGTCAAGATGGATACATTTCTGTTTAGCCATAGTGAGCAGAGATGCCTCGTACTTGTGTGAACAAAGCAAATAACTTCTGCTATGTTTGTGGATAACGGGAAAAGCCCGGCCGGGCGGCTCGGCCTATCCCATCATCATCATCCCTGCTGCCGGGGGTGGGGGGTCGATAAAATAGGAACCGCTTTGCAGGAATATCAATAGTGAATGTCCCATGAAGAGACTCGCCCCCGCCACGGGAATGAGGAATTTCCAACGCCGACTCGGTGGCCTATCATCATCCCTACCCCAGGGATCGACAAAATGGATACCGCTCTTAGGGAAAGTCAACAACGGTTGTACTGTGGATTGACTCGCCCCTGCCATGGGATCGTGGAATTTCCACCACTGGCTCTGCATGGCGGTAAACGGGAGAGATGAGCAGCACCGTCTCAGCTTGACGTCGATTTGACTTTGATACCGCGGGAGAGGCCCGGCCCGGGGTTGTGACCCCGACTTGAGCTGGTGCGGTGGCGTCCGTAAGCTCCCCGTGCACCACGCCACACACGCACGCACGCACACACGCACGCATTGCGCCTTCCCGATCGATATTTTCCATTGGCGATGGCGCGACGCGACGCATCTGTTCCCATCCCGGCGCTCCGGGCGGTCTCTCTGTGTGCCGCGCAATCGCCGATGGAAAACATCGACGGTGAAGGCTTTCCAGCGGAACGTCGCACTCCCAGCGACAACAACAACAGTAATGATCCCCGTGGTGGAATAAATCTACTTATTCAGAAAGAAAAAACATTCTCGCTGCGTCTCAAGGCTCTTACTCAGGAAGGTCCCACGTTGACAGATGTCGCCACTTTAACTTCGTTCAGACTTTTCCGTGCGTGGGCGCAAAACATAATTCTGAAAGCCGACGCGGGTAGCGGGCTACGTGGCGGGTTGTCTCTCTCCGTAGAGCAGAGACGATCAACCCTCCGCCGTCCGTCCAAACCACCAAATCACGCGAAATGCACCCGATCTCGTTGGCTTTCCGAAGCCCAAGCAAGCTTGAGCCCGGTTAGAACTTGAATCTGGCGCTCGCCACGTGCGTGGCAGGCGCTGAGAGCGGTCGTGGGTCTGCGAAGGTCTGTCCAGCGATGACTCCCTCACGACTGAGTCTTCTCCGCTGGGAGAGGTCTCCACAGTCATCGCGGCTCTCGGCGTCGGCTCTCTCCGGGCACTCCGCTATCCTCCCACGTGAAGACAAACACTCATTAATGGAAGGTCTAGAGGCTTACCGAGGCTGCTCTGGGTAAATACATGGACGTTGTTATTACTCGAGGGGGAGATGGTACGACACTCAAGCATCCGCACAGAAAGCCATCGACTCATTTTTTTTGCACAGCCATGCAAAGTTACGTGAGTATATCGATTACTCTCAGAGATTACAAGTAATGACACGCGTTTATTTACCTCACTGTCTGTTGTTGTTGTCGTTGTTGTTGTATGCATCCTCAAATCTTGTAACTCAATTTTAACCCACTTCCCAATGTGGTATCGACTGTAAACTTGGTATACTTGTGTCATACTGATGACAATACTATAATCTATCATAAAAATATATTTTTAAACATTCTTCTTCATATGTTATGTTTCGGCTTGGGTCTAATTGTCCACGGTCAACTGACGTTGGCTGTAATTGCCCACGGTCCCTGACGTTATGGCAAGCTTCGGGGCCACTTCCTGGAGTCGTGGAGTTCTTCAATTACTACAGCACACTCATGTTTACCATGTGACGATGGACCTCCTGCTGGATGGCTGCTATGAATCTCGATGCGATGTGCTACTTCGTTGCGCTGTCGTTGGTGGCCAGGTAGCTTCTGCAAAAAAAAGCGTGTTTAAAATTTTTATTTTTATATATATAAATTTTTCTTTTCAGGAGGGTGCCGCTACATCAGAGTGATTGGCCAACACCAATTCGATTGTATGGAGAATTTGTTGTTGTTGTTTCGCTATGGGAGGAAACCGGAGAACACGGAGGGGAAAACCCCAGAAGGGCAGGACTCGAACCCAGGGAGTCCTCGCTGCAAGGCGCGGGCGCGTCACCACCCTGCACCCACAACAACAACAGCGTTGAGTTTACAGGAAGGCATTCACCGCCACGACGTCTTGTCACATTGGTGGATTGTGGGAGGTGGTTGTTGTTGTATTCCTCTCCAGATATATCAGCCACTCCCTCTGTTCCTTTGCACTGAAAAGCATTTGGATTTGACCGGGCCGACGATTTATGCCGCCCAACACATTGTGCACGCGCGCGGAATTTGTCCATAAATATCGCGAGCGCTGTGCGATGACGGGGAGATTTAAATTCCCACGCGTCGAAGCGCGCGGGCTCACGGGATGGGGTCAGGGGTCACAGTGCGGACTGCCACTGGCACGACCGGCCCGTTCGCGAGTGCACGACGGGGATTCGATGATGGACCAAGAATTTAGAATCTTTATTTGTTACCGGAGGAGGAATCCGATGAGATTCTAAAATCTGTTTTCTTCTTTTTAAACAGACCTCCAGTTCAAAGGGGTGCAACGTGGTCAGAGCGTTATGACAACCAACGACAAAAACAACACGGCAGGAGTGCAAAGTCTAGAAATGGTGAAAAATGAAGACAAATAAAGATAAACAATGCTTTTATCTTACCAGGTAAAGCCCACTGAGGCTATCAACTCAAATATTTTATTTCAACGGTTTTACTCAACTTGATTCCCCTGTTTGTCGTGGTCAAATCTTGTAATCAAAATTTCGTCCACTTCCTGTTGTCCAATCAATTCCACATTTTGCACACGTGCTCAGATCCGGTGACAATGCATCAAAATCGGCATAAATTAATTCGCCACTTTAAAGCAATTTACAATTTGTATGGACGCCTTATAATTTATATATATATTTGTGGAGATCAAAAACGCCGCGGTCGCTAAACTGTGGAATCGGCTCGCACAAGAAGCAGGCGCCGCGTGTCTCAGGCGCCATTGACGAACTTCTTGACCGCGAGTTAAACGAAGTTGTTAATGAAACCGTTGTTTAAAAAAAAACTTTTTAAAGGAGTTTTTTACAATTTCAGTCGGGTTCTGTTCGGGGTCGGCGAACGGGAAGCTAATATCCTCGCCCGGGGCACAGCGCGGGCAGGACACGGAGCCCCCTCGCCTCCCGCTGGCCACGCGTCCAACAGAAGCGACCTGGGTGAATGTTCGGAGTGGCGCAAAAAAAAAGCCATCAGCTCTGGATGCAACGATCCCTCCGCTCCAAATGATTCACGGTCGCGATTGGATGCAAATTTTCGATTCGTATTTAAAGGTGTTGATCAATGAAGCGGCCTCGAGTGGCCGCAGGGGTCACACACGATCTTTACTTACAACTTGTACGAATAGAAAAAATGTACCGTGAGTTTAAGAATCTATTATAATTGCTACCGGCAATTCCACGCAATTGTTATTCCTAATCGTGTTGTCGTTCCTGCTGCCTTCAGTGCACCACGGGAAGGGAGTGTGGAGGGATGGGACAGACAAAGCGGAGGGCACGGCTCAAGGGGAGCAGCAGGAAGAGTGAAGGAGGAGCGCTGGGGCAGGAAGGGGAGGAAGGAGGAGTGGGGGGGGATGGCTGGGCCGAGATGTCGGAGAGGGTGACGACGACGACGATGATGAGAGCGGAGGGAAAAGGACACCAGTTCCGATATCGCTCTTCACCTCCGTTGGCAATGGCCAGGAATCGAACTCAGGTTCACAGCGCAGCGCGTGAACCTCACGGCGCACGAGGGGGTGGGTGGCCAGCACCACGCCGGGCCGCCTTTGTCTCCCTGGTGGCGTCCGGGCACTCATTTACGTCCGTGTCGACCCAGGGGAGGTCCGGCTCAGACGACGTTGGCCGCGAGCGGGAATCGAACTCGGCCGGCCGGGTCCGCGGCACCGCTGCGTTCCCCCTGCACCGCCACGCCAGACGCACGCGTGGATGTTGCTTTTTGGAGATGTAATGAATGCGCGTCTCTGTACACGCGAGCGCGTGTTGCTGCTGCTGCCTCGTCTCCGTTGCATCAGCAGCTCATTCGCCCCAATTCCCCCAATTCCCCCCTCGCCGCTCGCCCGCTTTGCATTCAGGGGGCCGCTCTCTCCTCGAGCGCGGCCCCCTTATTTCATTATTTAGCAGCGGATTGCTTTTTTTTTTAAACTGCCCCCCTCCACCACTCCCCCCCCACCACCAGCGCCACCACCAGCGCCACCACCTCTAATTAATCTTCGTCGCCCGTTGCCAGGTCCCCCGACTTGAGACGCACGCGGCTCGCGGCTTCGCGAAATCGACAGAATTTTTTTTTCCCGGCGGCGGAGAGCGCGCGACACGTGCCCGTCCTGGGGGTGCTCGCACGGTGGGGGGGGGGGCGGGCGGGGTGGGGGGGGCTGGATCGGGGCTGCACGTTAATTGCTTTCATTTAGCTACCCCCGCGTAAACTCGCCACCAATCTCCCATCACCCCCCCCTCCTGGTTACAGGCACTAACCCCGCTCGCTTGGCACGTGCGTGGAGCTGAGCGCGCCCACAGATTTGACTTTGCCCGCTGACTTGGCAAGCGGTCGCCGCTGCCAGTTCGTGTTTCTCCTCTCGCCCTCTCATCTCTCATCTCTCTCTTCCGTATCGCGCGGCGCCTGGGAATGGACGTCTTAAGTCGTGAAGCTGTGTTTTTGTTGCTGGAAGCTGGAAGCGTGAATCCCACCAACTCGTGCCCTCGGGGATCGCTCGCACAGAGACCCATATACTTGTAGTGAGTTCTTATGGAGACGTCGTAGAGGCAACACGGTTTATTCATAAACTAACAGACTCCGGGCTATCGGGACTCACACACCGCGAGCTCAACTCTGAGCCCTCCGGGTCGCAGTGCCCTAGGGGAGGCTATCTGACCCGACCCGGCCAAGGTACGGGTCTCGACCACTGGTCCCAGCTCGGCCCGGCCCTTACAAGGGCGGCGGGCTCGAGGTGCCAGGGTCCTAGTCCAGCTGCTCTTCAGTCTTCGTAGCAACTGCCCCGAGCTGCGCTTGGGGTGCCCCTTTTATACACCTCCAGGAGACCCTCCGCCCCTTGTACCGCCCCCTTTCTGGAACCTTCCAGAAGATCCTGGAAGGGCCCCAACTCAGCCCCCCACCTGGGGTAGGGGAGGGGAACCCAGCCTCCCTTGGGACCAGCTCCCTCTCTATCCCCTCGTACTGGCTGGCACACCCTACCGACCTCTGGCTGCAACTGCAGGTAAGTGGAAACAGGCGAACGGCAGGGAAGTGGATACCGGCGGTGTGTGCATACGCGATCCGACGCTACATACTCACCACACAGAGACCCATAGACTCGCACGGAGACCCATAGACTCAGAGAGAGACCCAGACTCACACAGAGATCCATAGACTCACACAGAGACCCATAGACTCGCACAGAGACCCATAGACTCGCACAGAGACCACAGACTCAGAGAGAGACACAGACTCACACAGAGATCCATAGACTCACACAGAGACCCATAGACTCACACAGAGACCCATATATTCACACAGAGACCCATATACTCACACATAGACCCATAGACTCACACACAGAGACCCATAGACTCACACACTGACCCATAGACTCACACACTGACTCATAGACTCACACAGAGGCCCATAGACTCACACACTGATCCATAGACTCACACAGAAGCCCACAGACTCACACAGAGACCCATAGACTCACACAGAGACCCATAGACTCGCACAGAGACCCATAGACTCGCACAGAGACCACAGACTCAGAGAGAGACACAGACTCACACAGAGATCCATAGACTCCCACAGAGACCCATAGACTCACACAGAGACCCATATATTCACACAGAGACCCATATACTCACACATAGACCCATAGACTCACACACAGAGACCCATAGACTCACACACTGACCCATAGACTCACACACTGATTCATAGACTCACACAGAGGCCCATAGACTCACACACTGATCCATAGACTCACACAGAAGCCCACAGACTCACACAGAGACCCATAGACTCACACAGAGACCCATAGACTCGCACAGAGACCCATAGACTCACACAGAGACCCATAGACTCACAGAGAGACCCATAGACTCGCACAGAGACCCATAGACTCACACAGAGACCCATGGACTCACACAGAGACCCATGGACTCACACAGAGACCCATAGACTCACACAGAGACCCATAGACTCACACAGAGACCCATAGACTCACACAGAGACCCATAAACTCACATAGAGGCCCATAGACTCACACACAGAGACCCATAGACTCACACAGAGACCCATAGACACACACATAGACTCACACAGAGACCCATAGACTCACACAGAGACCCATCGCCTCACACAGAGACCCATAGACTCGCAAAGAGAACCCATAGACTCACACAGAGACCCATAGACTCGCACAGAGACCCATAGACTCGCACAGAGACCCATCGACTCGTACAGAGACCCACATACTCAGAGAGAGACCCAGACTCACACATTGACCCACAGACTCACACATTGACCCACAGACTCACACATTGACCCACAGACTCACCAAGTGCCCCACTGTTTCTGACCCACAGCAGTCGCATCGTGGTGAGTCGCTGACATGCACAGCAGGCAGGCGACTGCTGTGCCCGGGTCCAGGTGCGCGTCTCCGGGAGTTGCCATGGCAACGTGGGAGGTGAGGAGAGGACCGTGCGGTCACGACAGCCCCTGTGCCACAGGGGAAGCCACCTCGTTCGAACACCTCTGATGTTTTCTCTCTCTCTGTCTCTCTGTCTGTCTGTCTGCGCGTCGATCTTCCTGCATTGGGGCAGCGGTGGCCTGGTGGCTTGGCACGCCGCGCTACAAACCCCGCCACCTGGGTTCGATCCCCGGCCACGGCTGACATCATTGAGAGGGTGAATATCAGCAAACTAAACTGTTGCATTTAGCAGGCAGAGCCCACAGAGCTTATGGGGCCGTCCATAAATGACGTCACGCCATTTTTGACCCCCCCCCCCCCTCGTCACACGGCGTCAAAAAAAGTCAGACCCCCCCCTCAAATATGATATCACAAAGCTCTGCCCCCCCTCCCCCCAAAACATTTCCATTTTGAAAATAAAACATGCTTCAAATCGCTTTAAACTATTGCATTGTAGTGCATATTTAATGTGGCGCTGCACTCTGATGTTGTAGGAGAAAACATTTATTAAAAAGTCTATTTAATTAAGTAGAACGTGTTGTCTATATTTATTTAAAGTTGCGCATTTTGATGTGACGTCACATTTCTCAAACCCCCCCCCCCCCTCGTCACACATCGTCACAAATGTTTGACCCCCCCCCCCCCCACCTAGGTGCGTGACGTCATTTATGGACGGCCCCTAAATCTGAGCGCACGTTGTTTATAAATGCGGAGGAGGGCAACGCCGGAAGACCCGGATTCACAAAATAAATCCAGAGCGAGAGAGAGAGAGACACGCGAACCCCGAATATACAACAGGCATCGCCAGGGTCCGGGATCGAACCCGCGCCAGGGAGGTAACATCTCGCCACCACCGGTCCTTGGGACTTCCCGAGGTTGAATTAAGCCTGGACTTAGTCGAGTACTGTCGCGTTATTCACGCACTTTGCTATGCGCATTTGTGGCTATGCACGAACCACATCTGCTGCATCGCGGACGACGGCGAGAAAGGAAGTGGTGAGATTAAGTGATGACACAAAGCGATAATAGAAAGTGATGAGATACTTTAGTACTTCGTTATGATATTTAGTTACCAATAAAAACAAATTGTGTGTTATGATATTGTTCATGTATTTAACCGGTTTTTTTTGTTAACCTATTTATATAAGGTAATTTATCGCAGGCCAATATCATTTTTGTGAAATTGTCTATTCACGGAAAATGATATTGGCCTAAATCTCCGGAACGTATCCCTCGTCGCGGATAACGAGGGAAACACTGCGCCGTGCCTGGTGCTGCGCATTGAAAACAGCACCTGGCCGTGGTGGCGGCCACTCCACCACCACCATCGCCGCCTGGTGCGCTGATCCGGCTCGGGCCTGCACCTGTACCGCAGAGCGCACCGGTCCATAACTGCTGGATTTTAATTGATTGATTGTTCCCCATAAATTGTATCGTAAAAGTGAATGCTGCATGTAAACCGTACAGCCGCTACGCATCTTTACGTGAACCTTAACGCCCCACACGCAGAGACCCGTAGACTCGGAATTGCGGCAACTCATCGCATGTCAAGGAAGGGGCGAACCGTAGCATCCCCTACCCTATGACACACAGACAAAGGCCTCCCGTGTAGCCTTGACAGACTGTTGGGGCAAGTGCTGTTAGCGAGCACCTGTGAAGACCAGAAAGGCACACGAGGAAGTATGTGTATCTGCACAATGGCGATGTTTACTACACATCGCATCGGAGGCCCAGGACCGGTTCAGATAATTGTCACCGGTGTTGGCCGTGAGCAGGAATCGGAAATCTGGTCACCGGGTTCTGAGCACGGCGCGTTAACCGCTGCACTACGACTTCACCCACTACCCATATCCTACCACACACATCCACGCATGCAAAGGCACGCACGCACGCAAGTCCTGAAATTGGGCAATAATTCTTGGTTCCCAATGCGGACAGCCGAATTATTTGCTGGGGCAGACGTCCCACGCGCGTAAATGAGCCATCGACTCCAAATTATACGACTCAGCGACGAACCCCCCCACCCCATCCCACTCCCGCCTTCGATAAATACACACACACAGCGTATCCATCCATCTGTCCATCGGTAACGACCGAGGCAAATCGTTCTCGCCGGCCCGGGCCACCGCGAGTGTGGGTGGTGTGGCCAGGTTGAGGGGGCAGCGATCGTTTGGGCTGTGGGGGGGGGGGGGTCACAGCGGGGGGGCTGGGGAGGGGGGCTCACAGTGCCACCTCGCCTGCCCGCCCACTCGAGGGGTGTAAACGGGGGGCTCCCTGATGAGATACAATTTTCTCCAATTACCTTGATAGCTAATTCGGGTTGGCGAAAAAAAAAAAGGGGACGTTTTTAAACGGTAGTGGAGCTGACAGGCAGAGAGAAGTTTGTCTTTCTCGCCCGACCGCTCACATGCCCGCTCGTAGCTTCGCGCGCGCACATGATGGAAAGTATCACGCACACGGCGGCAGGGATTGCGCGCACACGGCGGCGTCCGGCATCAACAAGGAGACGTTGTGGGCACGTGGCGCTTGCCGGAGAAGGCGAGGGGAGCGCGGCGGGTGGGCGGAGCGGACAATGGCTCTATGACTGATGACTGAGGAGGAGAGGCCAGCGGGTGAAGATGCGAGATTACGGGGTCGTTAATTTCCCTAATGCTCTTAATCAAGCGATGAGCGATCGCCGCTCGAGTCGGCTGATGAACAAAGGCCAGGGAGGAGGCGCCCGACCCGGGCCGCGTCGCCGGGGCCCGTCGGCTCGTGGCGGCGCCCGCGCCGCGATCGCAAATTAAACGCTAGACGCATTACAGTCAACGCTTTCTGGCCTATTTTCTCATTTTTAGGCCAATCGGGTTAATAGGCCTTCATTAATCAGCCACACTGCCGTGGAAGCTTAATTCCTGCGGCTAGCCCCTGGTGGGGCAATCTGCGGCAGCTGTCATATGTAATAACTTGAAACGAAATAGCCAACAATTAGGCTCTTGCCCCTGCGATTTCACAGCGCTTCAATTAAGCTCCACCTGGCGTCCACAGCATTTTCGGTTACCAAATAGAGACATTCTGAGATCCCGTGTTGAGCCACTTTGGGTTCCAGTATGGAGCCATTTAGGTTGACCGTATAGAGCTGTGAACTCCAATTTTCACAAATATCATGGGTCAAGTGGAAGTTGGTCCCTGCCAGCGTGCATTCGTGTGAGTCTATGGTGCAGTGTTGAGTCAGTGGGCAGTGTTGACTGTTGAGTCAATGGGCAGTGTTGCATGTTGAGTCAATGGGCAGTGTTGAGTCAATGGGCAGTGTTGACTGTTGAGTTCAGTGGACAGTGTTGAGTCCGATGGGCAGTACTATTTCACGTACAAGGGACGTTGATTCCATTGGAAGGGTGCAAGGAGGGAGAATGATCAGAAACGATATTGGGTACGGGGAGAAGGAGGGACACAGAGAAACAGAGCAGATTGGGAACTAAGAGGAGAGGGCACTTGTAAAACAGCTTTAAGACTAATCTTCGATGAATTAATGAACAGTCTCCACTCATCTGGACCATGAACGATGTTCAGGGCTGCCATCACACCTTTTATGTTGCAGGCTACAAGATCACCTTCCATGAAGAATGGGACAATATCCTTTTAATGGTCACGGAACATGGAAACCCTAACATCACCTGCCAGGAGATTCCACTGCTGCAGTCTTAAGCCCGACAGCTCTGCCTTGCTCTTGGGTAGTTCTAAATCACTGACAAGGTCTGTCAGTTCACCTTCTGTTATGAGGTGTGGTTCAGAGGAGGAGGATGGGAGAAAATCTGGGTCATGTGACCTTGATAGTTCAAGACCAGAATTTTCATCCTGTTCCTCTTCCTCGTCTGACTCAAGTGAGAATAATTCTGGTGCATCAGGAACTGGCAGTCCTTCTCTGTGGGGTACTGGGTGTATAGCTGATGGGATGTTTGGATAATGCAGTCCACTTTTTCTTCTTTGACACAACTTTCACAACTGGAGGCACCATGCAGAAGTAACAATTGCTGATATGATCTGTTGGTTCTCTCCAAATCATTGGCACTGCAAAAGGCATCGATTTCCTTTTCCTGTTCAACCACTGGCGAAGATTTGTATTGCAGCATATGTGCCTTGCCCTGATCTCCAATTTTGCAGCCAAAATAAAGGTGATAGGCTTTCTTAACCATAGTGGTTGTAGTGCACTTTTGTGATGCAAAAGTCACTTCACCACCAATATAGCAGAAGTTATTTGCTTTATTCACACAAATACGAGGCATCTCTGCTCACTTTGGCTAATCAGAAACGTGTCCCTTTGCAAAATCAAACACTGACAAATAATAGAGCACGACACTGCATGATTTCTAGAGCTGATTTCGGGCAATTTGTTCAGCAGAGGGATGTAAGTCTAGTTATGATTGCATCATCCATGACTCCTAGGAATAACATGATGCAATTCACATCATGTATGACGCAATACCAGGTTCAGATTGCATCATTCATTGTTTTGCTCAAAAAGCAAGTACTGTCCAAACCCAGTGATAGATGTATTCCTAGATCCAGTCAAAGATGTATTTGTTATTTCTGGTTTAGATTGAGATCCCTTCCCAACTCACTTATCCTCCGCCATTCCCAAGTCAAGGGTCGTAAAAACTGACCCAGTAGCATATCTTGAAAACTGGAGCCAATCAACAAATTTAAGCATCATTTTCATTCTCGGTGACCCAGAATTAGTAGAGTTGAACTACATTTATTTTGGAAACATTTTGGCTGTAGACCAGTGAGCTATCGAACAAAGACGGTCACCGCATCGCGCGCTTTCAGATTCGCTTCTCGGGCCGTCTGGAACGCTCTTCCTTCCGATATTAAGAAGCCACTGTGAGCTTTTAAATCATCTAGATTGACAAACTCATGTCTTTAGAGCTGCTTTTTGTGTTTAGGTTTGCTGTCCTTCTCCGGCACCTCCGATTAGCACGGTTGGCTACATACGGCGCAAAAGAAGTTCAACATAGACAGAATTCATTAGCTCTCAAAGTGCAGCCACGAGGCCTCCACAGTGGTTGGGGGGGGGGGGGGCGGGGGGGGGAGACTAGAGACCGGGATGTTCAAATGGAAAGTGAAGCTGAAGTGCCGAAAACGTCAACTCTCTGGTTTCGAGCCGAGGGTACCGCTGAGGCACGATGTGTGCTCAAGGAGGGGGCCACTCTTTAATCTGTACCACCCGATACACAATTGCAGCCCTACAGACAATGCCGCGGGACCTGTCCTGCGGTTTTGGGTAGCACGGGAAAAAAAAAAAGCCGGATGCATGCCGATGTCGTTGTATAAGAGGCTGCCAGTCACGAGGACATTGCCACAGCGGTATTGCGTTCGGCCGAGGGGGGGAAGCGAGTTCGCCGCGGGTTCGAATCAGGCAGGCCGCCCTAGTTAATATTGCGCATGTGCGCGCACGTTCGCCGTAATAAGAAAATGTACGCGTCGCCCGCTTCGCAGATGATGGCGACGATGTCGTCGGCGACGTTCGAAGAACAAGGAGGGCGACTGCGTGTCGGCGTCACGGCGGCCCAAATGTGCAGCAATAAAATAAAACTTCTCTCTATCCCCTGCTGTTGATCGCTGGTTTGGCTCACGGTGACGTTGTGTACACGGCGCGTGACAACGTCATGTAACGGGGCCCGCGCATTGCCTCAATAAAAAATTACATGCAAATCAACTTACACGAAATTAAGTTAATTTGTAAACGCGGCAATTGTCGGACCACCCCCAACCCCCACCACCCCCGCGATTGCGAAAACTGAGCGGGAACCTCTTGAAAAGGAGTCCTGAGATTCAGCGAATCTTTCCCAGGTAAAACAAGCGTAGTCATACAAAATATATAACAACATGGTTTGTCGTCGTGCTTTGATGTGGAATTACAAGGAATGGCAGCGGTGCACGTCATGCACCGTGAACTCATGTCCACGGCCCTTACCGGTGACGGAACCGGTCCTGAACCCTCTCTCCATCAAGCTGCGTTGACCAGCGTGGTGAAGTATAGTCAAACAACCCCCGTGATCCACGGCTGGGGCTTGGGAAGCGTGTTAATGGAACACGCAGTATACCATTATTGATTATGCAGAAGACAGAATGCTATACTGTGGTCAATATACCCACACGCACCTCACAATTTCAACCGTCCATCTTCTCAATCTCAATTGTGGATGGAGAAAAAACTAAAAATCCACGGTCCCAGCTTTAATGTTGTGGAAGTCATTTCGAGAATTATCGAGAAGCGGGGGGGGGGGGAATACCGCGGTAGGTGGTGAATGACGACAAACCATCACCACCAGCAGCAACAGTCACTTGAGCATCCGCGTCGATTCAGTCGCGGGCATCACAACCTCAACGTCACAGCCCCCCCCCCCCGGATACAAGGCGCGTGAAGCGATGTGGAGCGAGCTCGTTGAGCACGCTTGGCGACGTACGGCGCGAAAGAAGTTCAAAGTGCAACACATTCGGGTGTTGCGCGTCTCTCTGTCTCTCTCGCCGTGGTCGCGTGGATTGTGTTCCGGGTCCTCCAGTTTCCCCCTCCACATTCAGAATGGACGTGACGCGTTTGAGTGGTTGTCGACTGCTGCAAATGTCCACGTTGATAAGCCACTTCGTTGAGCTGCTGTCATTTGAGAGCCAGAACGCTTCTGAAAAGCAGCTGCGTAGTTCAATGGGCCCTGCCGGGTAAACTAAAATTTGTTTAAGAAAATTGTGTAATAGTCTACTTTCAATTGAATGCACAGTTAGTTATGGCCCAAATTCCCTCAACTCGCTCAAACACCTCTCCCGCCCCCCGCGCCAATCTTCAACGCAAATCCGCTCGTGCTGCTTTCATGGCGCGACATCAAAGCGCCGCCGCAGCTCCGGGCGAACAAAGAGCAGCGGGCGATGGTTCTCCAGCGCGCGGTGCAGCCTGGGGGAGGACGGGGGGGCATTGGCTCGCCCAGCGCGGCGTCAATGTCCAGGGAGCTGCACACAGCGGGCCGAGGAGACAAGCATTCGGAGTCGCGGGCCGAACGATGTCTTGGGCCTCCGTGCGTCCTGTCTGTCTCTGTCTGCCTTGCCCGTCGCTCCGTGCCGTGCGACCCGCGAGACGGCCGTCTGCGGAGAGTTCCTCCGAGGTGGCAGGGACAGGCGGTCGGGGGTGTGGGGGTCGATTCGTCAAGAGGGGTCAAACTAAACTAGAAACAATTGATACTCTTTGGTTCTTTCGGTAAAGTCACGTAGGTATTAAATAAATCACGACGTTGCGATTGCAACACAAGCAATCATCATCAGGTGGGAAAACCACAGTAAAAAATGTTTTATTTTCTACCTACGTGACTTTACCGAAAGAACCAAAGAGTATGAATTCCTGCAGTCACGAAAGCTTCAAATTAGATAGAAACAATTCAATTATTTGACCCGGCAAGGCCCGCCGAGCTACGTAGCTCTTGCCAGAAGCGACCTGTGGCCACAACTGGCTGCTCGACGCAGTGACGCATCACGTGGCCATGTTATAGCGGCCAAATAGTAATGTCAGCGCGTGTTTCAAGTCGTGGTGGCGAACACCGGAGGACCCGGAGAAAAATACACGCAACCGCGGGGAGAGAGGCAGGCATCGAACCCACGACCTCCTGTATAGCAGCCGAGGTGGTTAACACCACGCCATCGTGGGTACATATAGCGCCAATATCGCGATGATCGTCATATCGTGAACATTCTTATCCTGTCGCGAATAATGATACCGCATCAGGTCCGGATCACTTTGCCGGGAGCATTGCGAACGGCAAATCTAAAATCCGCAAAGCCTCTTCTACATTTGACGTGGCTTAATCTACCGGCAATCGCCTTTAACGGAGACGTATGAAAGCAAAGCAATCCACTGCATTGGATTATACTTTATATTTGTGTGCACGTGTGTGTGTCCAGCCCTAACGTTAGCGTCGAGAGTCAGGGCCGGTGTCATTGGCCACGGGAACTGAAGACGCAATGGAACTCCGCCACAACGGAGTCGAAACGAGCCGACACGGAGTAGCGAGCGAGCGAGCGCGTCGCCCCTCGCGAGGTTCCCCATGGACCTCCCTCGCACGCGGTGGAGTCGGTCGCGTTGAAGGAGAGCGACAAGATGAGTCGGCGGGACGGGCTGCCACTTGCAATGGACCCGGGGCCTCGCTCCGACCCACGCGCACCACCTCGAGCCGAGCGGCGTCACGGCTGTCGCGTGCGCAGGCGGTGAAACTGCGCCGGGACCCCCCCCCCAACCCACCACCCACCCATCCACTGCCGTGGGATGGAGGAGGGTGGGGTGGGGGGCACCGGATTCAGAACTCCCCGCGCTAATGCTCGCTCCGCCACCGCGCGATGACGAGCAGGCGATTCTGATGGAAGCGATAATCACAACAGTCGCGGAATAAGCGGCCGCATTAGTGGCCATTAGCGCGTTAAACATAGCGCTCAGTGACGTGTGCGCCCTCGCTGATGAAGTCATTAAGATCGATGGCGGCGGCTCTCGGCCGACTAACGACTTAACGTGGGAAGTTAAAGGCGGAGAAGGGAATTGACTCGTTGCCTTGAAGAGGTTCGGCGTCACGCTGCAGCTGTCGCCGTGCGTCTGTACGTAACAAAGTCTCGAAAGGGAAGAGACGACTTGAGAGAGAGAGAGAGAGACGAGGTGTGGCGATACGGGGTGGGTGGATCACCAAAAGATGGGAGTCGAGATGTGTCCAAGACCTTCACCGACCGGGGAAACGAGGCGCCTCCTACACACGAAGCAGCGCTATGCGCCATGCAAGCTAAACGCGATCAAAATGCTGAAATAATAACAGCTGTGTAAACTCGCTTTTATTTGCATTCATTAATTAATGTTTTTTTTCACCTGGGCACAACTCTCAGGAATGGGAATGCTCGCTTGGCAGGATGCCGCTAGGCAATTAGCACCACGCGTGCACACGTGGAGCCGCGTGTACACGTGGAGCCGCGGTGGCTAGGAGATGTAAACTACCTCGCCTGACCCTGACGCCTGCACATTTGAGGGTCGCGTGTCTCTCTCCCCGTGGTCGCGTGGATTTTTCTCCGGGTCCTCCGGTTTCCCCCCCCCCCTCCCCAATTAGAATCAACAACACGTGCTTGGAGTATTTGGCTGCTATAAATGTCCACGTGATAAGCCATCTTGTTGAGCTCTCATTTGTGAGAGCCGGGTCGCTTCTGAAAGAAAAGAGCTAAACAGCTCAGCGGGCCTTTACCTGATAAAAGAACAAATGAGTGTTTAATTTTTTTATTCAAATTTTCTTGCTGTGGATTTCACACCTGATGATGATTGCTTGTGTTGCAGTCGAAACGTCGTGAGAATGTTTTATTGTTTTATATTATTTTATTATTTCCCTTCTACGTGACTTTACCGAAAGAACCAAGAATATAAAAATGCGTGTTGTAGTTTTGGTGAATTCCCATGCTGACCGAGGGCCTTGCCTGCACCACGCGGGCCATGGGGTTCACGTGGTCGGTGGGGGGCTTCGTGGCGGTGGTCACCCTCAAGCTCTGCCCCAGGCTCGGTACCTCTGCTCAGCCTCCGAGATCTGGCGCGATTGGAAGCCCGTTTGTGCGTGATTCGGCCGTGGGATTTCGAGTCATCGCTGTTGGCTACTCTCACTTGTTGAATCGTCTACATTGAAAACTCACTTGCTTGGAGCTGATTATTTTTTAATGTTTAGTTTTGTCGTCCTTGCGCCGCACCTCCGATCGGGCAAGGTTGGACACGTACAGTGCGAAAGAAGTTCAACACACACGCAATGTAACGGTGCATTCGCTGATGTAAAACTTCCTATTTTGTCACCCCAAGGACCTCCACGCGTCAACAAATAAAATCGACGAGTCGCCATCGTCACAAACACACGATCCCCGCCGCCCCGTGGGTCATCTCCCCTCGCCTCCCGCTGGACCCCGCGCAGCGCAAAATGAAAAAAACCCCAAATCCTCGCGCGCCTCTCACGGCCGGCGCGACCTCACCCGGAGACTCCGGCCCACCCACCTCCCCGCAATGACCTGGACCCGGCTAGCGATGATTTATAGCGGCTCAAGATCCATCCCTGGAGCCCGAGGCCAGAGTTGAGTCCTCTTGGTCGTCCCCGTGATGTGCCCGGCGTGTTGGCGCCTCGCAACGTCTCGAGGTCGGTCCGACGTCGCTGCCCTCTATCTCCTCTCCGCAGGAAAGAGCCACACACGGACACTGCCAGAAAGGGCCACCTCCAATATACCCGCTCTGATATAAGGCAGCGTTAATCGCGACGAGGTGGAGTTTTTATTCACCCTCTGTGTGTGTGTGTGTGTTTATACATAACCAGACAAAGCAGTCGTGGTTAGCGCTATGCTGCGCTACGAACCCGGCGATCCGAGTTCGATTTCCGCTCACGGCCAACACCGGTGACGATTATCTGAACCGGTCCCGGGCCTCCGCTAGGTCGACTCGGCCTCAAATTAGTATCTGGTGCGGTGTGTAAACATCGTCACTGGGGAGACAAAGGCGGCCGGGCGTGGTGTTGGCCACCCACCCCCTCCTGTGCCGTGCCGCCCTTCATAGGTGCTACTCGCTAACAGCACTTGCCCCAACTGTCTGTGACAGGCTACACGGGGGATCTTTGTCTTCGCCGACGCGTCAAGCAGCAACGGCGGACGTCGCTCTCCAGCAACTTGCCAGCGTCTTGTCACCTTTGACGTCGCCGTAGTTTATTATTAGTGAGATTAGTGAGATTAATTCGAGGATGTCCGACTCCGACCGTCCATAAAGACGTCACGAGATTTTGGACGATTTTGACCCCCCCCCCCCTTCGTCACACGGCGTCACAAAAAGTCAGATCCCCCCTCAAATATGACGTCACAAAGCTCTGCCCCCCCCCCCCTAAAAATAAAACATGCTTCAAATCGCTTTAAAACACGTTCCTGCGGAGGGAGCTGGTAGGAACGTTGGTTTGCTCGGTCAATGGCCAGGGTCAACAGCGGCGTGGTGTATTCCGCAAATATGGCCGACTGTGAGGGCGGGCACAAGCCGGCGTGAGTAGGTTAAACGTTGAGTTTTATAAGGGCACCACGGGGTGACAAGCCCCTCCCCTTTCCACCCAGCCCCACCCAGCACCCACCCTTCCCACCCAGCCCCCACCCTCCCCACCCAGCCCCACCCTCCCCACCCAGCCCCTCCCTCCCCACCCAGCCCCTCCCTGTACGACGGACGGACACAATAATCCCCTGTGGGCTGGTGTAACCAGGAGGTTCCTACCAGTACTATTGTAATTGTAGTGCGTATTTAATGTGGTGCTGCACTCTGATGTTGTAGGAGAACACATTTATTAAAAAGTATTTTAAATTAAGTAGAACGTGTTGTCTATATTTATTTAAAGTTGCGCATTTTGATGTGACCCCCCCTCCCTCGTCACACAGTCACAAATGTCTGACCCCCCCCCCCCCTAGGTGCGTGACGTCATTTATGTACGGCCCCTGAGACGCTGAATGATCAACCACGGCACATGCGCCGTGAATCCACAATCGCCCCCCACCAAACGCCTTCCGCGATGACGAAACCAAGAAGCCGGTGGATTCCGCAGTGCAAGGCCAAGCGAAGCCTCAACGAGGTCAAGAAACATGTTTGTTTCCAGGAGGGTCCTGCCACTCGTTTTTGGCGCACGATGATGAGTCCACCTCGTTGAGCCATCGTCTTGTCACAGCCAGGTGACGTCTTACAAAATAAAATATCAAAATAGCTCAGTTGGCCCGACCTGGCAAAATAAAAAAAAGTACTTTCTAGTGATTCCAATTGAGTAGTTTGCAGGCTATTTTTCAGCACTGGGAAGTTGTGGTCAATATCTGTTACTTTGTACGGGTTTATTCTCTACCTATGGGAGGAAATCCAAATCTCCGAGGAAACCCATGCAAGAACAGGGG